CTGTATGCGAGGTGCCTCATCCCCCTTTCGAATACACACCACTTTTCGCCATAAGTTCGGTAATGATAACATATGCAGCTGTGTCAAATTTAAGAACGTTAGCATAAGCTAGGGATGCCCAAATCAGCACATATGTGTCGCGGGCGACTGCGCGTGCAAAGATTTGCACAGCGGTGCTGGGCAAGCGCGGAAGCAAAAAGTTATCGGAAGGGGAAAACGAATTTAACAGAATAGTGAGATTGTATGTGTGACAGTGATGGAAAATGAGTGTGCATTGTGCCATTTTCGGCCCTTTCGGAAGCAGCCGGCACCTTCAGCACAATCGATTGATTTTCGGCACTATTTTTGCGTAACTCAATGCAACTAATAAATATTTCTTTCGGATCCGCAATTAAAAATATTTTTTTTACATTTAATCGTATGAGCTTAAACTGATAAATGATATAAACATAGAAACGCAAGCAGAAGAATCTCACTTCCACATTCTGCATATGCGCTTAACATTTTTGTTTAAACAAATTTGTCGAAATTTCATCTCTAAAGCAAATATTAAACATCATTTAATATATACTTTAGATTTAAATAATCATTTTAAGTGGTGGGCGAGTCCGAGATGTTTAAATGATCGAGATAGTACATTCAATTCGCGTAGATTTTTCCAATTTGTATAAAGAAAATGCAAAAAAATATTAAAAATCAACATGAATTCTTAGCTGCACTTTCACTTTATAAAACTAAAATTGAATAGACTATAAAACTGCATACCATCAGTTGGTGTCGAACACTCGTGCGGTGAGGATGTGATCGCGCTTTTATTGATTTTATTGCCGTCAACAAGCATTTTCGTAAAAGCGCTAGCACAACCTCATCAACCAAGTTATTATTAATGGATAAAAGAGACATATTTTTGGATTCGGTAATAAGTTTTGACATTTTAATAGCATTTCAAGTGCTTATCAAAACTTTACGACACTCACATATTGACAAGATTTGACCATTTATCTTAATATTATGTATTTTTTTTTTATAAAAATACTGTTTATACTTAAAAAAGCCGTACAAATCCAAGGTTCAATCTTTTTACAACATTAAAAAAATCAACACACTTTTGTAAAAATTTCGAGCTTTTTAATTAGATTTCCTAGTGCGCAACACCGCAAATAGAAAAATCCAAAAAATCAATGGTATTTTTTAGACACTTCAAACTTGCACCTTATTATACTAGAATGAATGGGCTACAAAAATGTTAACCCAAAACATGTCTACAAATTCGGAACAAAAACTGTGAAAATTTGATGAAACTTTGTTGATTTTTTTCAATCTTTCAAGTTTGGATTTATTTGCAAGGTTTTTGTTTGACAATGAGCTACAATTTTATAAAAAAAAAAAATTAAAATTATTTAAAACAAGTAAGAAAGTCTAAGTTCGGGCGGAGCCGAACATTAAATACCCGGCGCAAGTATTAAATATATGTTTTTCACCTTT